CCCTCCTTGGGCTGCACCCACTGTCCAACCAGTCCCAGTGAGATGAACCAGGTACCTTAGCTGGAAATGTGGAAATCACCCACCTTCTGCATCGATCTCGCTGGGAGCTGTACACTGGAGCTGTTCCTATTCAGCCATCTTGCCCGAAGACCCACTGTATTATTTCTTATCCATGCATAGAATATATAATCTTAAAATAATCTTAGTCTTCTGCCTGTAGAATTTTTTTTGTTTTGTTTTGTTTTGTTTTTAACTAGCAGTTTGAAAATCAAGCCTGTAGGATTTTTTTTAGAGGAAACAGAGTCATGCTATATTGCCCAGGATGGACTGCAACTCCTGGCCTCAAGCAGTCCTTCCACCTCCTAATTATCAGGAGTTATAGGCACTGACTGCTGCACCCAGCAAAGGATTTGTTTTTTGTGTTTTTTTTCTTTTTTTTTTTTTTTTTTTTGCTCCATCATGGTGAATACAGGGATTCTTTTCTAAAGCACTTTATTTGCTTGGATTTGTTTGTTTCACCAATCAGTTTTATAACAGGATATATATACACATTTTTTTTCCTACTGAGTCTCACTCTGTCACCCAGACTGGGGTGCAGTGGCTCAATCTCCCCTGGGTTCAAGTCATTCTCCTGCCTCAGCATCCTGAGTAGCTGGGACTATAGGCACACACCACCATACCCAACTAATTTTTGTATTTTTAGCAGAGACAGGGTCTCACCATGTTGGCCAGGTTGGTCTTGAACTCCTGACCTCAAGTGATCTGTTTGCCTTGGCCTCCCAAAGTGCTAGGATTACAGGTGTGAGTCAACACACCTGGCCTATTTTTTATTTTGAATTAAGTATTTAAATAACTAAAACTTTAAAACCCAATTTTAATGACTGGGAATTTAACTTAACTATTTGAATGAAATAAAAATTAACTCTATTACTAGAACCATCTAATTTTCAAGCAAGAATGGAATTTAAAGATTGCATAGCACAGTACTTCTCCAGCCTGGCTTACGTCAGAATCACATGAGGAATCTCTTCCCAGGCCAATTAAATTAGAATCTGATATGGGGAAGAAACCTGTAGACATCAGTACTCCTAGGAAATCTGTCTTGGAGCTTTCATTGAAAATCACTGATCTAATCTAAGATTTTACTTTTATAGATGAGAAAGCTAAAGCGCAGAGAGGAAAATGACCAGGTAGAAAATTCAAGCCTCCTGACTTCAAACCTACTGAGTTTTCTACTCCATAGGTTGTTCTCCATCTTTGGGGTGTGTGAAGGCTTCTCTGGAGCATTCATAACCATTCATAAAGTCCTAGGTTCTACCTCAAAACTAATGAAGCAAAATTTGCACTCCTTAGGTAATCCAAATGAGCATCAAAGTTGAGAACCATTGCAAGTGACAATTACCTAAAGTAATGAGGTTGTCATATGAAAAGAAAATAACTGAGTTTTCTCTCTTCCATTTTTTAAATTGATGGCTCTTTGTTTTTCTTAGATTATATATTGTTATTGTTTTTTAATGTACCACAATCCGATTTGGGGGACATTTTCACCAGAGCAGTAGTTCATTACCACAACCACACTTCTTAACTCTGTTTTTCCTCCTCTTTTATATTCCTAAATTCTAAATATGTTGAGATGAGGCAATAAGTAATTGAATTGAAAAAATATGATGGAAAATGATTAAAACTAGAATGTCTAAATAGCTACAAAGGCCCTGGAAGATATAATTGTTTAATTACTCTAGAAAAAATATAATTTAAGATGGGTACAGTGGGTCACACCTATAATCCCAGCCCTTGGGAGGCAGAGGTGGGCCCATCACTTGAGGTCAGGAATTCAAGACCAGCCTGGCCAACATGCTGAAACCCCGTCTCTACTAAAAATACAAAAATTAGCCAGGCCTGGTGTCACATGCCTGTAATCCCAGCTACTGGGGAGACTGAGGCAGGAGAATCACTTTAACCTAGGAGGAGGAAGTTGCAGTGAGCCGAGATTGTCCCATGGCACTCCAGCCTGGGCAAAGAAATAAGACTCTGTCAAAAAAAAAAAAAAAAAAAAGGAAAAATATAATTTAATAGTTAAGTAAGTCTTAGCAAGAAGAACATTTATTGAAAACTCTCCATTTGTCTGGCACTATACTAAGCACTTTGCATGTAATCCTAAAACTATCTTATAATATTAGGATTAACCCTATAAGATAAATATTATATTTACCTCTATCTACAAAGAAAGAGACTACAGCACAGATAGATTAAGTAACACCAGGCACAGTGGTTCACACCTGTAATCCCAACACTTTGGGAGGCCTCGGTAGGAGGATCATTTGAGGTCAGGGGTTCAAGACCAGACTGGCCAACATGGTGAAACCCGGTCTCTACTAAAACTGCAAAAATTATCCAGGCATGATGCCAGGCACCTGTGATCCCAGCTACTTGGGAGGCTGAGGCAAAAGAATTGCTTGAACCTGGAAGGTGGTGGTTGCAGTGAGCTGAGATCACGCCACTGCACTCTAGCCTGGGCAACAGAGCAAGACTTCGTCTCAAAAAAAAAAAGAGAGAACGAGATATTAAGTAACTTAGTCACAGTCACACAATAGTAACTTTGAGAATTTATAAATTGGAATCATTAACAAAGATGTCCAATGCCAAGGAACTTGTCTGTCTCCTTAAAAGAACTGAATAGACGCAAACAGTTCTAGAAGTTAGCAGTATTGAATACAAAGAAGAACAGCTGAGAAGGCATTGAGCTACTTTTATATCTTATACTTTATATTAACTCAATTTTTCAAGACTGCTGGCTCTCCTTATGACTTTCTGGAAATTTTAACTGCAAAACTTGACACAGAAACAAAGTAGAGCACCTGAATAGACCAATACCATGAAAATGTGTCAAAGAATTGCCTCCAATATACTCTAGGCTCAAATAATTCTGTAAATGCATAATTTCAAACATTAGAAGCTTAAATGTGATTAAAACTGTCATGAAAGCATGGAAATCTATTCAGTATTTTATTCATTTTATTTTATTTTACTTTTGAGGTAGTGTCTCACTCTATCACCTAGGCTAGAGTGCAGTGGCATGATTATGGCTCACTACAGCCTCAAACTCCTGGATTCAAGTAATCCTCCTGCCTCAGCCTACCAAAGTGTTGGGATTACAGGCATGAGCCACCATGCATGGCTCAGATATTGGTTTCTAATACTGTTTAATTAAAGAAGCCAGGGATCTTTGAAGAAATGGTCAATTCTAAAAATGAGGCAGGAAATAAACAAGGTAAGTATTGAGCATCTTGTAGTGCCAGAAAGTAAGGAAGTATAAAAATTAACATAATTTTTAGGCTGGGCACGATGGCTCACACCTGTAATCCCAGCACTTTGGGAGGCCAAGGCAGGTGGATCATGAGGTCAGGAGTTCAAGATGAGACTGACCAACATGGTCAAACCCCATCTCTACTAAAAAATACAAAAATTAGCTGGGCATGGTGGCTCATGCCTGTAATCCCAGCTACTTGGGAGGCTGAGGTAGAATAGCTTGAACTGGGACCCAGGAAGTGGAGTTTGCAGTGAGCCAAGATTGCACCACTGCATTCCAGCCTGGGCTAAAGAGCAAGACTCCAACTCAAAAACAAAAAACAAGAAAACATAATTTTAAATAATTCAATGATGGAGGTACATCAAAGGGACAGAGAAGCCAATGGAAAGATCTCCCACTGACCAAAGTTAGAACAATTTAAGTCACAAAATAGTTTAATAAATAATGAGTCTGGGCACTGTGGCTCATGCCAGCATTTTGGGAAACTGAGGTGGAGAATTGCTTGATCCCAGGCATTCAAGACCAGTCTGGGAAACATAGTGAGACCTTATCTCTACAAAAACTTAAAAAAATTAGCTGGGTGTGGTAGCATGCACCTGTAGTCCCAGCTACTTGGGAGGCTGAGGTGGGAGGATTGCTTAAGCCAAGGAGGCTGAGGCTGCAGGGAGCCATGATTGTGCCAGTGTACTCCAGCCTGGACAAGACCTTGTCTCAAAAAAAAAAAAAAGGAAATATTAGATTATATTGGATTATAACCCAATGTGTAAAATGAAAACCCATGAGTTTATAATGGTATAAATAAATAATTGAATACATAAATAAATGTGGGAGGAAGACAAACCTCCCATGCAGAAGAATCCCAAATAATTTGTGTAGGTACTCCATTCTCAAGGAGGGAGAACATAATTCCTCACTCGCTAAGAGTGATCTGTGCATAGTAACTTTCTTCCAAAGAATACAAAATGGAAAGGGGGTGGGAAACAGTAATTTTTCAGTGGAAAAACTTGACAAACACTACCTCAAGGTCAACATGGACAGTGACAAGTCATGAAGGTAGTGTGACTACACCCTTGTATCAGGTGATGAAAATGGCAATTAGTTTCCTGTGGTCTTACTTCTAAAACCCAAAACCCCAGTCTAATTATAAGAAAAACACCAAATTCCAGTCGAGGGATATTCTATAAGTTACCTTGTCACCACTCCTCAAAACTGTCAAGGTTATTAAAAACAAAGCAAAACAAAGGTCTGAGAAACCATCACAAACAAGAGAAGCCAAAGAACATGTTATTAGCAAATATAATGTGGTACCTTGGATGGAATCCTGGAACGGAAAGAGGACATTAGGTAAAAAACAAAGGACATCTGAATAAAGTGTGGATTTTAGTAAATAATAATGTATTAATATTGGCTCTTAAATTATAATGACTGTACATGACTAACATAACATGTTTATAATAGACAAACTAGATACTGGGTATATAGAAACTTTCTGTACTATCTTCACAATTTTTCTGCAAATCTAAAACCAATCTGAAAAATATTTATGTTTTTTAAGGAGGATAATTGAAGGCAGTTAAAACATAGACTAAATAAAAGTTCTCTTTCACAATAGAAGCATGAAATACTTAGGACTGATCCTAATAGGAAATTAACAAGACCTATATGAGGAAAAGACATAAAACTTCAGAGTGTGCTTGCTTCAGCAATATATATACTAAAATTTGAATGATACAGAGAAGATTAACATGGCCCCTGCACAAGGATGATATGAAGGAAATAAAAATTAAAAAGAAAAAGTAAAAAACAACTTCATTGAGTGATGTGAACATTTTTAATAACTAAAAATGTACAGCATTTGCCTTTATAGAAAAACAATATCACTAAGATGTTGTTTCTTCACAAACTATATAATGTTAATTCCAACCTAAAAGGGGTTTATTCACTGCTGGTGAAAATGTAAAATGGTAGTACTATGGTAGTTTCTTAGAATTCAAATACATACCTACCTTTGGACCCAGCTTTTTTACTCCTCCCCAAAAGAAATGAAAATACATTTCATAAGTACAAACACTTGTACTTAAATGTTCATAGTAATTTTATTTGCAATATTACCCTCAGCAGGGGCTACTATAACAAAAATACCATATACTGCATGGCTTATAAACAACAGAAGTTTATTCCTCACAGTTCTGGAGGCTGGGAAGTCCAAGATCAAGCAACAGGCAGATTCAGTTTCTGGTGAGGCCCCACTTACTTGTTCATAGACAGATGGCCATCTTCTTATCATTTCTTCACACAGCAGAAGGAGCAGAGGAACTCTCTGATGCCTTTTTTTTTTTTTTTTTTTAATAAGGACAGTAATCCTATCCATAAGGGTTCCAACCGTATGACCTACCATCTCCAAAAGCCCCACCTCCCAACAACCATATGACCTATTGTTTCCCAAAGGCCCCACCTCCAACACTGTCACATTAGGGGTTAGTTTTCAACATATCTATTTTAGGAAGACACAAACATTCAGTTTATAGAAATTTCAAAACGGGGGTAAAAATCAGAAATATTCATCAATAGATCAGTGTATAAAGAATACGGTGTATCTATACAAATGGAATAACAAAAGAAGAATTAACTATTAATAACTGCAACAGTATTTGAGTTGAATCTCAAAATTGTTATGCTGAGTGAAAGAATCCAGACACACCATATGATTTCACACATAAAAAGTTCTACAAAATGCAAACTAACATATACTGACAGAGATCAGATCAGTGGTTGCATAGAGCTAAGGCAGAAGGTAGGGGGTTATATGCAAAGTGGCTCAAGAAAACAGAGCTATACTCTAGTTTCCCTTCAAATCTCATAAATCTTTCACCTTTTGCTAAAGAAAACAGTGGTAACAGAAATGTTCCATACATGGTGTAGTACAACTTTCACAGGGGTTATACATCTGTCAAATATCACCAGATTTTACCTTTTAAATGTATGCAAGTTATACCTCCAAAAAGGTTTTTAAAGACCTAAATCAAGTGGGGGCCAGATATAGCAAAATAGTTTTCTTATATGAGAATATGAAAGAAAAAATTTTTAACAAAAGGTAATGAGTGGGTCCTGTCAAATAAAAAGCAAACCCAGACTTAGTAAGGAGAGACTTTGTTGGAAGGATTATTTTAAGAGGAAAAGATCCTCTTTCAATAGGAGAAGGAGAGCTATTGCAGTAATAGTAACTCTCTGACCATAATACCTGCATGCTTCTCAAGAGTTAGGTGAAGAGAGTTTTTCTTTTACAGAGAAGAGTAAACTACATTACAAAGATTAGGATGTGGACAAGCGGATAAGAGAATGGGATTAAAGAATGTTTTACCCTGACGCCAGCCTTCTCTCTAGAGCTGCTGTTGAAGAGGGGTTACATGCTGACTCAGACTGAGGATGGCCAAGGTCCATCTGGGGAATGGACAGAATCTTAACCAACATGTGATTAACAAGCATTTTGTTCCCATTGATCATTAGTACAAACAAGTTTAGTTAATAATTTATGAGGCAAAGAGTAGGAATTTGGTGTCTGTGTCTGGCCTTGTCATAGGTAAACAAGGCACTTTATGTGAGTTTTATTTAAATTATATGGGAAAGGGTGCTTCTTTGCAGCAAGGTCTTTCTGAAACACAAAAGGGTGGGAGATTTCTCCGTCTTTGCTCTTTTCCAGGAGCACAGAACTTAGGCGAAATTCAGCACTGTCAGTTTCTTCTAGACAAGGCTGCCATGTTGTGCCATTCTATAGGCGTTTTATTCTTTCCTAGATAGGCATGTAAAGCTGTGATAATTAAGACTAATCTATTGAACAAAATAACTCTTAAAGGGAATTTATTACAATACACAGACGAACCTAAAACGTGGTAAAGAATGTAATATGCATCAGTGAAAAAAATATATTATTAAAAGTATGACATTGCCAGGACACCTACCTCACACGTGCAGCGGTCACGGAAGCCATGGGGGCTATAGGGATGAGCCACGTACTGGCCTTTTTCCTTGTCCTGGACAATACTCTCATCGACATGGCCGGGGCGAGTGGGAGAGACCTGTTGGAGGTGATAAAGCTCTTTCAATCAAAGTATCATTTTAAGAAAAGGCTGAAATCATCTGTGATAAAGTTCAAGTTAAACTCAGAAGAATGTTTTCATCCTTACAGTACATATATTATTGATGTAGGGCTTCAGTTGGAAAGAAGCAGTCCAGGAAACAAAACATGGTGTAGCCAACAGAAAATTGACTGAAGAATGTCACTTTCTTTGGAAATTACACATTTACAGCTTATGACACTAGCAGAAGATATCAAAGCCATCTCACTAAACTTTGGAAGGAAGTCTGCCTATTTCTGTTAAGGAATGGGTACAGATGGACCCAGTGGGAGAAGACTGAGGCTTCTGCCTGTCAGTCATATTTCCACGCTATTGTAGGTAGAGAGCAGAGAGAGAAGCCAGCACCATCCATATCTTATTATTGCCACAATCTCCTCGAAGTACAACCTGGGGACAGTGTGACGGTCAGTGATACGTTAGAAACTGACATCCAAGGAGGCCTCAATGCAGGATTGAAAGCAACAGTCTGGATCAATAAAAACGGAATAGTGCCACTGAAGTCCTCACCAGTTCTGCATTACATGGTTTTTCTTCTGTGCTGGAGTTACCTGCTCTCTTACAAAGTATATACCAGAAAGTCACTATGTCCATTTAAAGCACATAAAAGGGCATGATTATGAACTTTGTAATCAATTTGCAGGATTTGAACTAAGAAAAGTTAGGGCAGTCACTTAACTATGGTCTAGTTCTAAGAATAATTTTACTCATGATTTAATGACCAATATTGCAAAGGTCCTCCCAACCCTACTGCTTTTAAGTTTTAACAAACTACCATTGACTGGTATTTATATCTGAAAATTCGTGTTACATTAATACAAAGTAGTACAGCCCAGAAAAATTGAGGAAATCTAATATTTGTTAGTCTGTGACAGGAGATTTTTAAAATAATTTTATTAATGTTTACTATATTTGCTGCATGATACCAAGAAGGATAGCTTACACATGGATGCACAAATGCAGGGTTTATCTTCTGGCTTAAAACTAGATATTTTTAAAAAATAGATTTTCTGAAACAGATTTATCACAGCAAATGAATCTGGTTAATATGAAATGAGTTCTAAGTCACATGCAAATCAAGGTATTTCATCATGAAATTATTTTGCATTTTTTAAAAACATAAACCATATGTTTACCTACTCTGGAGGTATATGTTGTTTTCTATTATGAATCTGATTTTTTTGCATAATCCTTTTTTTTTTACAGAGGAGGACACAATTTTGTGTGTGTGTGTGTGGTGTGTGACAGATTCCTCCAGTTTAAAAAAAGAAACTTAAAATCTACACATTGTCCACCTTTCTCACCTGTGCACTGTGAGCCTGTAGCTTCCTTGCAGTCTTCACTTCTCAAGGAGATGTTTTTACTGTCCTTTCCCAGACACACAATGGAGTTGAGGGTGCTAGGCTGACTTGCTGTAGGTAAGTGCAAGCCACATGGCACCAAAAGTCATTTTTCTTCTGTGGGTCCATAAAAGCAAAATTTTCTTGGTACAGGCTAACCATGCAGCCCTGCTACTGTTCTCCACTGCCAGTGGTCTCAGCCATACGATGAACCTAATAGAAAATTCAGTTTTGCTGTGAGTCTATTTCCATAGTGCCATTTTAATACTCAAGTGACTGTTTCTTAGAGTTACCATCTGCCTCAAATCTCCTGTTTTTCACATTTTGGGATATATAATTGTTTTGCAAATTTCTATATCTAATTCAGGGTTTACTTTGAGCTTAATTATTAATGATTTCATAGCAAGGCATCATCTTGCAACCAGAGGTGGTTTCTCTGGACCGTTAGGCTAGACAGTCTCATGATGACACTTACCAAACTTGGAGTAAAGTGGTTGATAAAGAATAAAGGAGGTTATTAAAGTGGTTAATAAATATAATTGGATTGGTTGTTGGTGGGTTTTTCTTTTAACTGTTGTATAATAAACTAGTGATGCAGCTGTACACAGTGGCTCACACTTGTAATCCTAGCACTTTGGGAGGCCAAGGCAGATGGATCACTTGAGGGCAGTAGTTCAAGGCCAGCCTGGCCAACATGGTGAAACCCTGTCTCTACTAAAAATACAAAAGTTAGCCAGAAATCACTCGAACCTGGGAGGCAGAGGTTGCAGTGAGCCGAGATACCACTGCCCTTCATCCTGGGCTTACTCTTGATTTTTAAAAATGTGATTGTACCCTTGACTGTCCCAAGGTGTTGTCTCTATAACACTGAACATTTGTGAACAGGATATATTTGAAGTTCCAGATACAGTACCGATATGACCTTGATCATATTTTAGCTATTTAAAATTTAAGTTGGAGAATTTTGGCAAAAGTACTTACATGCAAGTTTGCTCTAATAGACTAGTTGGCATGTGTGATGCTGAGGGCTCATTCTTTCAGCTGTCCCACAGGATGGAAGTAAGCAGTGTCACATTCATTATGCTAAGGGTAAAGGTTCATCCCTCCTACATCATAGTGACAAATCTCAATAACATAGCTCCTAGGATTTTTTGTTTTTGTTTTGTTTTGTTTTTGAGATGAAGTTGCCCAGGCTGGAGTGCAGTGTCTCGATCTCGGCTCACTGCAACCTCCACCTCCCAGGTTCAAGTGATTCTCCCTTCTCAGTCTCCCGAGTAGCTGGGATTACAGGCACGCACCACCATGCCCAGCTAATTTTTGTATT